CTTCTTCCTCCTTCTTCACTGTAGTTGGACTTTTATGACCTGGCTGCTTTTTCAAAAGTCGCTTTGGTTCCTGACCTAATAACTGTTTTTTTCTTACTGACTCAACACGGCCCAACCTCTGAAATGGTTTCTGGCCAAAAAACGAGCCTTTTGATACTCCAATCACTGGTCCGGAAATCATTGAGTTAAATACTCAACAATTTTTTGTTTATAAAGAATTGTAAGGTAACTTAGACCCCTATTTGAGCGTGTTTAGAGCATCAGTGTAGAGGCTCAAACGTGGCTTGAAAAATGTACAACGTTGTCACTGTCTCATTTGTAGGTGAGGTGATGTTTGGATTTAAGATAGAATGAGCTTCTAGGAAAAAGCCAAGCTGAAACAAAAGTTAAAAATTTGAACTTCTTATAAAAAAAAAAAATTGAACTGCTTTAGTTGGCAACATGGAGAGAGAAAACAATAAAGGTGAGAAGAAAGATAACAATATTTAAGTGGATCTTATTTTGATATAATAATTTATTTTGTTATAAGAAAAAAATTAACTAATAAATTTAAGTATTTTAATTTAGTATTTTCTAAATTTTATCAAATTGTATACATATGATATACTATCTTTGCTCCTTAATATAGGATCCCAATAGACTAGTTTAAATAGATTGAGGAAGCTAAATAAGTTACTTAATTATATTATATGCTACATGATTTCTCTAAAATATTTATGTGTATCATTAAATTGCAAATTAGTTTATAAGTCATTTTAAAACTCACGTCCTTTTTAATCATTTTACATATAAACTTATTTTTTTTATTATTTAACCAAACAAATTTTAATTTATCAAACAGATTTTTATAAAAGTTAATCCAAATACTAATCACAATATACTAACTTATTTTTATCATAACTTATGTTTCCAAAAATTAGATGAAATAAATCTCACTTTTACCACTACCAATCCAAAGACACCCTTTGAAGGTTTCTTTGGGGAAAAAAATTGTTAAAAAAAAAAATACTTGATAGTCATTTATAAACAACCGTTAAGTAGTCCATTTTAAAATCTCTAATAGACCTCATTTTTCGTTTCAAATTTAGACTATTATGTTGCCTTTTGTCCTTTGCTCCTTTTACCTCTGATCACCCCATTTCAGCATCCCCACCACTATTTCTTGCTCTCTTGTTACTGGGTTTGTCGTTCTCCTTTTGTAGCGAGTTTGTGTTCTCCTCCATTCCCCACCTTTGATTCGCTATGTTTGTGGCTTTCTATAGGTTAACAAGTTCGCGTATTCTTTTTCCCTTTTCATATCTTCGAATCTTCCTCATGGTGAGTTAAGATTTTTGCTTCATTCTCCCTATTTTTGACTACTGGATTATGTGTTTTGGGTTCTTTACTTTGGATTTTGAGTTTTGTGTTAGGTTTTGAGTTGTTTATCTATCTTGGATTGTTAGCTGATTAAAGTTAGCGATTGCTTAAATGAATTAAAGCTATAAATTTTGGATAATGCATGGCCAGATAATGGATGAAAAAGATAGTAGTCAATTGCATAGAAAAATATTGCATTATTATCTGATATTAACATAAGTACATATGAAGTCAACGGTCTCAAAGATGATCAATAATATTAAAAAGAAACTGGAGAAATAATGTCTAGAAAAATTTGAGAGATTAAAAAGTGATGTGAAGAAACTTTTTTACTTTTTTAAGAAAATGTCATATACCTATTAATTGCAATATTGTATCACCGTATTAGATTTGAATATTATATTGTTAATAACCTCACTTAGGGATAAATTTCTAAAGCGATTTTTCCATTATTCATAATGTTTGACATTCCTGCTACTCAAATGGCCCTTTTTCAAACTCTCAACTTGCCAACTTGAGCCTTCGGAGTTCGGATTCCCTCTTCTTGCATCTTCCCCCTCTCCATTTCAACGGTTTAACCCTTCCCCCACGACAAATTAAAGCTCTACACTCCATTCCTACACATCAATATATTTTAAATTTTAAATATTATATATATGTACATATGCATCTATGTATCTAAATAAACATATTTTTTACATGTTTATGTAGAAATAAAATACATATGTCATTAGTTTAAGAAAATATTTTTTTGGGTTAAAACGGCTTTTCAAGAAAACAATACATGATATATATAATTTTGGTTAATTTTTTCCAAATAAATAATTGTGTAAATTTAGCTTTTTAATGAATTTATTTTAATTTTTAAATTTGCATTTAATTTTAATAAATAATAGTTTAAGCATGTGAAGGATATAAATTTCCAATTAATATATATACTCATCTAGTCTTTAATATAAAACCTATTTAATTAATTTGACTAGATTAAAGAAGTTAGGTAAGTTAGTAATTATAAGAAATATGGCACATTTTTTCTAAAACACTATAAGCATCTTTCTTAATATCCTCTTTCTCTTCTACTTGATTATGGTTGAGGGAGTATCTATAAGAGTAATTCAAAAAAATTGATAAATATAAAAAAGAGGTCTTATATTTAAGACTAAAATTAACTCAATAATTAAGTCATATATTAAAGAAGAGTATATCCTAGTTTATTGTTCGAAACTTCAAATAAACAAAGAAATATGAACATTTACTGAAACTATAAATTGTTTGTATTATTATTTTACATTTTTAAGAAACTTAATAACATAGATGATATAGTTTTATTTTGGCTAGAATACATAAAACTCCCCTAAAGTTTGAGTCAGTTGCATCTCTCTTGACCTTCAAAAATTTAAATTAAAAACCTTGATATTTCATATTTTGATTATAAATTCCCTTGTCGTTAAAATTACCGTTGACTTTAACAGACTTTGCTATGTCACAATTTTTATATATTTTATTATATACCATATCAATTAAAAAAATAATATTTGATATTTGACATGAAATTTGAAATTTTTTTCTAAAAACTTAAAATAAAATAACTAAAAATACAAAATACCTTAAAAAATATTTAAAATATTTATTTGACTGTCTTTTTAAAATAAAAAAGTATAAAATAGTTTAAATTACATGTCAAATGATAAGTATTATTTTTTTAATTGATATGACATATAATAAAAAGTTTAAAAATTATAACTTGGCAAAAATCGTTAAAGTTAACAGTAGTTTAATGGCAGGAGAATTTATAGTCAAAATATGAAATGTCATGATTTTTAATTTAAACTTTTAAAGGTTACAGAGATGATGTGCAACGATTTTGTATATTTTAGCCTTTTATTTTTATATGTTTTGCAGATGATATCTGTCAACCAAACCATACCATTTAATTTTGACCCCACAATCATTACTTCCTCCTGTCCAAATTAGTCGGCGAAGGCTTATCTCTATTATTTTATGGCAGCAAGTGCGTCCAAGTCTCAGCCTCAATATTCATACAAACGGCAAATTTAATATCGCATATTTAGCATCTTTTAAGTTATTTCCCCTTGAATAGGGCTTATCTAACGGCTAACGATCTCTTACCAATGTAAATATCACCACTCTAGCCACTTTTTAAGATATATTCCTTTGGTTTCAAATATAGAAGCTAATTGAGGGATTTGGAGTGGGGTGTATGCTGCCCCATCATTTTTCCCCCTTCTCCAAATATGTTTTTTTTTTTGTTTTTTTAATTATTATATTCTACATTTAATGAATGACATTTTGATATTTTATAAGCGAAAAATAGAACTGTTTTCAACTTTTATGATTTTTCAAACATTTTTCAAAGAAAAAACATTCTAAATTAAAAATAAATAGCACAGAGTTTTATGTAAATCTTTGAAAAATCATAAAAAGAAACAAGAAACAAAACATTTGGGAAGGAAGGGAAAATGATGGCACCAAAGTAAAAGAATTAACTTTTGTTTTTTTGTTTTCAACACAACAATATTGTGAAGGTATTTTTGCCCACCGGTTACCCTTAGTTTTATGGGAGATCAAATCCCATCAATCCCACTTTCCTCCCTTTTAAAAAAAGGTTTCGTCCGACCAAAAAAACACATGCTCCCTTCTCTAGCTAAGGGCCTGTTTGGTTTGAGGGAAATGGAGGTTTTATCCTCATCTTGTTTGGTTTGATTAAAAAAGAAACGAGAGGAGGATGTTTAATGATTCCTTGTTTGGTTCAAAAAGGAAAGGGATAGTAATAATTAATTTACTATTTTACCATTATATATTAATTTATGTTTTTTATTGATATATTATATAAATTAATTTACATCTTAATTTAAATTATATAATTTAATAAAAATTCAGTCTTATTATGTTAATATGTGTATTAAAAAATTGATACAGTAATTTTTTATTCTAATTAATATAATAATATATTTAAAATAATCAAATTAACAAATTTTATGTGCTCTAAGAAAAATAAAATTTTATTCTCTTTAGGCTATCTTTTTTTCCAGATTTAAAATATATTTAATAAATAACATATTTATAAAAAACAATTAATTTTATAATATTATAATTTTTTATTTAAATAATTTTTTATAATATATTTTTAATTCTAATAATGTATTTTTTTTATTTTTACATAGGATAATATATTTTTTATTTGAAATAAATATCATAATAATATATTTTATGGGTAGAAGTAGAATATTAAAAAAATTATAAAGATATAATGGTTCAAAAATTTGACTCCCCTTAAAAAATCTCAATTTGAAGAGAAGCTAAAATAGGAGGAGGCGGCAGAGGGGACATTTTAGCTCCCCTCCCCTCCAAAATTTTTAACCAAATGAGGGGAGGGGCTCATTTTTCCTCCCCTCCCCCTCCAACCAAACAAACCCTAAGTTGGAGCTTCAGCACTGGCCGGCAGCTAACCAGTTGCTAGCAATGATGAGGGGTCACTTTGATAATTTTTCTTGAATTTTAAAATTCTAATTCGGGTTTACTTCATTTCTTGTCATTTCAAAGTACAAGGTCCCTAAATTAAAATATCACAGTTTTAGGATTGGAATTTCCCTTTTTTTTTTTCAAAATTATTCTATGATTCATTCAATGGAAACATCATCATATTAAATACAATCCAACAACCCGTCACGCCAGCGAGTCCAGTGGTGAGGTTAGATACACCAGCTATAAATAGTCCGCAGCTTCTTCCATCTCTAGATTCTAGAATTAGGTATCATACTTAATTTCTTAGCTTCTTACTCTCCCAATATAGTAAGAAGTAGAACTTTGCAGCTTTAAAATGAAAGTGCGCAACAATTCCTCAAGGGAAAGACCATTTTAGTGACTGGTGCTACGGGCTTCTTAGCAAAAGGTACATCATCTTTATCCCATCACTAATACAAGAAACTAGAGTTTTGCAAGGGAAATTAAATTTTCCACAAGTAATTAATCAATCTGTTCAATAGAGTTGTTTGTTATATACATATAAACATAGATACATCTGTATTTATATTCATACCAACGATATTTTCGCTACCTGCTGTTTTTTCTTGTCCATAATATCTCAGTGATCGACGACCACTTGTCCAACTTGCAGCATGATAATAAAGTCATACCCCTCCGGACCTTAATATATGACTCATTTAATTAATTTAATTAGATTACAAAAGTTAGATAAGTTAGTTTAATTATAAGAAATATGACACGTTTTTCCTAAAATACTATAATCATCTTTCTTAATACCTCTTCTTTCTCTCCTAGTTGATTATGATTGAAAGAATATTCATAGGAGTAATTTAGAGAAAATTGATAAATATGAAAAATAAATCTTATATTTAGAACCAAATCTAACTCAACAATTAGATTCTATATTAAGACCCGTAGGAGTATTGATCTATTCAGAAATTTAGTTGTTGACAAAACATGATAGTGTCATGGGATCTAACTAATCAGTCCCACATTGCCGGATAAGGCTGCTTGTTTTTGTAATTCGAGGTGGACGTATTCTTTTTATTATAAAGTGAATATGAATTTACATGTAATGTTTTGAAAGTTACTCTTCATAATAATATCAGCAATTTTTTACCGAGGTATGCAAGGACAACTATACATCTTTTTAGCCCTTTTTAAATATCATCATCTAGTATCCAGATATTTTTTTTCTGGATCTTATTACCAAATATCCAAACAATCAACTAATCTGATTCGGGATCCGTAGCTTTCCCTCCCCACAAAGATATCTCCTCCAAGGCTCAAATTCGAGCCCCTTGCACCGGCAGACCATCTCTTTATTGGTTACACCTTTCTAGCTTTCATGCAATGTATAACAATAATAACCGGAAAAAAATAATTAGGACTCGTTTGATTTCTTGAGAACGGTTTTTTTATCTTGAAAAACAAAAAATTAAAGTTTATTATACAAAAAACAGAACATCTTTTTAATATTTTATTACATTGTTCTACAAAATTAAAGAATATGCAGAGAAACATTATGCTTTTATTAAAAGAAACTAGTACAAATCCTGTGCGATGCGGGGGACAAACATGTAGCTTTTTTTTTTATATTTTAAATAGCACATAAAATTAGATAATTTTATGCATTGATTTGTTAGATGAATTGGTGATTTTGTTGGCAGTGCAAAAAATTGAATAATTACGAAATGGTCAGTTGAAACTAGGCTATTTGCTTCAAGTTTACAGAAAATAACTGATCTATATATATGCTGACATTAGAATTGTCAAAATACAATAAATTGCAATATTATTGGTTGCAAAAAGTGCAGCTTAATTTCTGCTCTACTCAATTATGTTGTATATTAATGGAAATTACAAACACATACCAAATGCATGTTGTGAAAAAAAAAAAACTAATATTATCCAGTTGTAATGTGTAGCATTGTAGCTGAGGTACGGAGTAGTAATTTGAAATGAAGATGACAAGGGTGAGAGAGAGAGGAAAAATAAAAACAGGATAAACAGCAGCAAAGAAACTATGAATTAAAAAGGGGGAATTTTAACGAAATAAAATTAAGAAGAAAAATGTGTTAAATATCTAATGATAATATAGATTTAGCAAATTTTGCATTAAATTTTGTATAATCATTATTAATTATCAAGTTATGCAACTATATATAGCTAAGGTCCAGTGATGGAGGCAGACTCTTACTCCCTTCCCTACTAATTCTAAATATAAAATCCATTTGAGGGTTCCAGCGTGATTCTAAATATAACGTCACATTTCCTCGTCTATGTATTGAAATTTTTTGAGAAAAATGAAATTGAAAGACCCTAGAAATTGTGAAATTTGGATTTGGATTCATAAAATCACACAATCCCTGTGAGAGACCAAAACTTAAACTGAAACTATGAAATTCAAGCATAATTACAAATTAAACTGAAACTATGAAATTCAAGCATAATTACAAATACCTCCATCTGTAAATGACTCTCATAATGACACATCACCTAGAAATAACAAGTCGTAATTGTAAAATAATAAGTCTCGAGTTGAAATTTTACTCTTCTTTTTTTTTTTTACCAACGGGGTATTTTGGTAATTGTGCTTGAATTTCATAATTCCAATTCAAGTTTTGATCTCTCACACGAATCATGTGATTTTGAGAACCTTAATTGGAATTTCACAATTTTCAGGGTCATTAAATATCATTTTCCCAAATTATTTTCCATAATACTCTTGTTTATGGAGTCACTTTTATCTCTGTAAAGTAACTAAGCAATAAAAAAAGTGTTATTTCTCATGTGTACTTTGTCATCAAGCAATTACTATATCCTTTCTTTTTTGATCAAAACGCCTAATTTTCTTTGCAGTTTTTGTGGAAAAGTCGTTAAGGACTCAACCTGATTTGAAGAAATTGTATCTTCTTCTAAGAGCTTCTGACTCTGATAAAGCTGCACAGCGCTTGCATGATGATGTACATAAATTCATTAATTTAATGGCTAATTCATTCTTCAATTTATAAATTACATGCATATCTACTTAATTACATGCTTTGTTTTTCTTTCCTTCTTATATTTAATATGGCTAGATTATGGGGAAGGACTTGTTCAAGGTTCTTCGAGATAGGTTGGGTGCAGATTTTGATTCTTTCATATCAGAAAAGGTGGAAGCTATTGTTGGCGATGTTTCACTCGTGAACTTGGGACTTAATGATGAAAATATTGGAGATAAAATCACGGAAGAAGTAGATTTTATAGTGAGCTCAGCTGCGACTACTATGTTTGATGAAAGGTAAGCAACTGTGAAACTCACTAGATTGATATATTTGTGATCACTCATGCAGGTGTACAGGATTAGTGTAGAAAAATGATAGAGTATCTCGGATCGTACTTATAGGGAGGTTTTGTTTCTACTAATTTAGATAATTAATAAAAAGCATTTGACGTAGGCAGTCTTAAAAAATATTTCCAAGAGGTTGGTTCTGTAAAACCCTACAACCTGCTTACCATACTTGACCTATTTTCCTCATAACTATGATATATGAAAAAAAACAAAAATGTACAATCTATACACTATCATATCGTGGTTATAAAAGAGACTTGCTCACTTCCAATGTATAACTATGTTAGAAACAGAGTGAACTACTAACATGGTTATAAATGATCTCTTCTTGTACTTGATAGACTTAGTTGTAACAAATAATAAATCACTCTCAAAATAGCATTAAACAGTGAGTTTAATTTTCCAGCCTGTGTCCCTAACCATCACTTATATATATAGTTACTCACTCGTCATCTCCAAATAGCATTAAACAGCTACATGCATATGTTTTTCAGCTTCAATAATCTATTTTTATCATAACACAACAGCACACATATATGTATATATACTCCTTTCGTCACTTTTTATAAGCAACAACTACTATTCCTGTCTTCTATTCCCGTCTTGTCCCTAAATACAAGCAACATTTGCAAGTTATCTTAAATTTTTGTAGCAAATTTTCTAATTTGCCTCTATTGATTACTTATTTTAATACTCAATATATTTATTGTCTCATTTTCCAAACTATCATCTCTCTCCATCAAACATTTTCTCTCTTTCATTATTCTCTTTATTATAATCACTTTCTTATTCTTTTTTTTATACTCTCCCCCTCATAAATAAGCGTAGTTTAGATAAAGAACTTCTAATTTTTACCTATTTATTGTTTTTAACTAACTTTTGAATCTATATAATAGAGTCCTATGTTGGTTATAATAAGGGACGGAGGGAGTAATATTTATTCGATTAAAAACTTAAATGCAGCTTTCATTGTTAACAAATTAGGTTTGTTTCGGTTTGACAGCGTTTCTTCTATAATTTTCTGAAATTCCAGCTCCATTAATTTCCATCCAGTCATCCTTTCAGCATCTCTAAGCATGGTTTGATCATCTATAAAAGTTATTCAGCATTTGGAAACACCAAACAGGGAGTTTTGAATCAGATTCCGGCTTCAAAAATTCAAACCCATCAAGCTTTCTACCACACACATGTATGCAACACTTAAACCATAACCTTTATTGGAATATGCACAATCTCGCCTCTTCAAAATTTCCAAAAGCAGCCCTATCAACTCTGAAAATTTTTCAGATTTGAGAAATGGATTCAAACCATCCGGCCAACCATAACCAAGAACACCCAACCATAATCAAGAACACAACAATTTCATCAATTTGAGCATCTAACCGTCTTTTAAAATTTCCGGCAGCATCATTCTTAAGTCCGAAAATTTTCCAACTTTAGCTATATTGTTTTAAACATCATATGGGAGTCTTCAATTACGCTTTAATGATTTATGGTACTCGTTTAACATTTGGAAGAATCAAACAGTGAGGCCGCTTCCGTTTTCACCCCCAAATCTCAGCTCCTAATAATATGCTCACAACATCATAAATCAATTAACATTTATATAATCTATATATTCCATCATTTAAATATTTCTATCAGATTTCATGAGAAGAAATGACAGAAATGCCTCTGGAAAGCAAGGTCCAGATTCGAAATCATCTTGCCACGGCTTTATTCAATCATGCAAGCCAAGAAACAAGCAATACAACCTATATTCCATCTTCCCTTAATGTTTTCTTACCCTATTATACAGTGTTATTCATTTTCTCTCTCTAAAATCAGATTTCAACCACCATCATCTTGCAGAACACACCCCAAATGAAGAAACAGAGGATGTGAGTTGTGAGAAGGTTTATGTGGCTTACCTTAGTCTAAATCCAAGCTTGCACCCAAGAAATATCCCTGTCTTCCTCTCCTACCACTTCGGTCTTCTTCCTCTTCTTCCATCTTGCTCTCTCTCACTCTGTTTCGATCGTGAAAACTGAAAACGAAGGGAAAAGGTAGGGCTGATGGATTTATAATGGCCCTTGGACCATTTTGTCCTTCTACCAGGTTTTGTTTTCAATTTCATCCCTTCTCCGTTATTCTTAAGACGCCAAATTACTCTAAAAATTAATAATTAACACTTTATAAGGGTTTTATTTCTCAATTAACTTCTTTATCTTATAGACTAATTTTTCTAAACTTTTCAAGCAAAAAATAAACTCTGAGTTATTTTTCTTGAATTTTCTAATAATATAAGCCTTAAATAAATTAATTCTTAAGACTTTATATGAATTAACTTCTTCAAATAGATTCTTTACCTTACAAAATACTTATCCTAAAAATATTGGCTCACAAATTGAACATTAACTATTTTTTCTTCAATTTTTAGGGTAATAGGCTCTTATCTTCAGAAATGAGCTTTAAAATCATTTAAGCCATATTTGGGAAATTAAACCTCTTCATAAATTTTCTAAATGCTTAAAACAATATTTCATAACATCTCTCCAAATTTTTGGGCATTAAATAATTTTAATAATTATTTTTCTCCTTTATCTCTTTAAAATTTCATTAGAAAATAGTCTTTTTGGCCAATAAATTTAATCCTTAAAATAATTCTTTTGAACCTTATAATTCCTTTATAACCTATTTTTTATATCTTTAAAATTTGGAATGTTACACTCTACCTATTTACCTATAAAATATGCACTCTATCAGTTTGCTTAGAATTATTTGGCAAATATTTGAAATGTCTAATTGATGCAGATTTGATGTTGCAATGAAAATCAACACACTGGGCGCTTTGCATGTTTTAAACTTTGCGAAGAGTTGTCCTAATTTACAAGCTCTTCTCCATGTGTCCACAGGTATGTAGACTCTCTTGCCTCATCTCCTGTTGTTATATGATCCAATTGGAAAGAAATATTTCAAATTTAAAATTTTAAATGTTAACAAAGCATTCCTAAATACTTGTATATTAATCTTAATTTTTGAAAACAATAATAATTGACATAATCCTCATTTGAAACTTGTTAGTGTAGTAGTAAAAAATATGCTCTAAAATTTAACTGAATTAAGAAAAGTAAATAAATTTAGAGAGATTTCACCAAAGGAGAGTCAAAGAAGAAAAACACGAAAGACTTTATATTGATTCGGTCCCAACCACTTGACCTGCATCTAGTTTTCAGAACACCTGTGAGTTTCTTCACTAACCCCAAGATGCAATGGGCTCTTAGCGCCACAATATAGTAATTGAGCTCTCTCAATCACTCCCCCTTACTTCCTATAAAGATACAATCCCCTCAAGAGTCCACACTCTTGAGTTACTCGCTAAATGAGTAAAATGATTTACAGACTCTCTTTAAGAGTATATAAAATGAACACTGACGCTCAGAGTTAAGAAACAGAGTATTGAATGTAAGGAATTAATTCGACATATGGTAGCTCAAGTTCATTCTTTTCTTCATTCAATGCTCTTCACGTTTTATACAGAGAGATTTTGAGTTATCCATTAGACACGAGAGCTTGTGCCCGTTGAAGTAGCATTTGCATAGGTTGGTAGTTGTAATGGTTGTCTCATATTTAATGCGTTTCTTACAGGTAGCTTAAGCCTATGATAATTTTTCGTTGAGCCTCGTAACCTATAGAAATGTGTTTGTAATAAAGGTAATAAGTTACTTCATTAGAAAATACAAATAATTAAAAGAAGAAATGATCAACTGAATTTAACTTATGAATTGAAATTCACAGATCAGAGAGCAAAGAATCACAGAATCAATTCTTCAAAGATCTCATTGATGAATAGCCTAATCAATAAGGTTATCGATTAATTGGAAAGATGAGACATTGAAAGCAAGAATCATTTATCGAAGTCATTATGGATCAAGGAGTTTATGAAAAAGGTTATTGATAAAGAGTGACAGTTAAAATAAAGTGATTTATCACAAGGATTCTTCAAAAGTTAAGCGAAAGGACTTGTTACCTGCATCCTATTTGAGTTAGGGGCCATTTTTGCTTTTGATAAAAATATAAGATGAACAATAAAGGCTGAGAAAAGCTTAAAGATATAATAATATCATATTTTCTGAAAATAGCGTGAAGAACAATTTTGAACAAAATAACAGAACTTTATATAAGATGTTATCAATAACTTACTTTATCCAAAAACTTATCCATAATTGAAGTAAACTTTCAAATCCATTTTAAACAATTTTATCTGAAAGGTTATCAATAATTATGTTTATTGAAAAGATGTTAGAAAAAACTCTTTAAAAAAAAACTTAGACAGAGATATGAAAGATAGGAAAAACGTGACTTTTATCGATAAGGTGTTCGATAAATGTATTTATCGATAAAATTATCGATAAACGTATTTATCGATAAGGTTATTGATTAATTTCTCCATAGAACATGTAACTTTAAAAATAAGCAAAGATTTATTGAACATTTTTTTTGAACAACATAAGTTGTTCAGTAAAATACTGATAGAATAGTACTTACTCAATTTCAGATCAAGTTATCAAAGATTATGAAATTGATAAACAAATCAATAAGCCAAAACTCTTTAACTGATTGTAGTAAAGAGAAACTTACCTTTTCATCCAAGGGGTGCTTGATAAATGCTTAACAGTAAAGATATGCAGAGAAACTTAGCCATTTATCCAAAACATGATCAAAAATCTCATTTATCCAAGAAGTGATCGATAAAAGCTTATCAGTAAAGATATACAGAGAAGCTTAGCCATTTACTTTGTCATCATCAAAACCTTAAGTCTAACATTCTTCCTCTTTTCTATGATGACAAAAGAGAAAGTGTGGAATAAACAAAAAGTGCAGAATAATTAAAAAAAAGTAAAAAATCAACAAGTTGAATAAAATCAAAGAGATGAGATCACCAGAAACTAATATATATATATATATATATATATAAAACAAACTTTTTTAATTAAATAGATAGACAAGTAAGCAACAATTAGCCAGATAGTTCAAATAGCAACATAGTAACAAAAAGTCATAAGCTTAGAAAAAATCTAATCAATATCCGCATCATCCAGAGGACTATTCTCCCTATTTTTGTCATCATAAAAAACCGACAGGGTAGAGACTAAGGACGAAGTGGGTGCAGTGAAAGGAATAGGAAGAGGAGGAAGTTGAGTGGTTTGAGAAACAGCATGAGAGATAGGTGGAAGAGGTAAGACAGAGATGATGGTAAGAGGGTTTGTGGTAGTGGTTGAGGATGAAGTGGGGACAAACATAGTGGGTGTGGGAACTGGAGGAGGAACAGAAGAAGGTCCAGGTTCTATTGCTGGTGCAGATAGATGAGAGAACAGTTCTTCAAACGAGAAAGAGGTTCCAGGAGTAGAAAAGTTAGCTGCAAGGGAATTGACTAGACGCTTAATATCTTGAAGCTGCTTTTCTAAAGCATTAAACCTCTGAGTGACTCCTTATTCTAGGACTGCTATTGCTTGTCTATAAAGGGATAACACAGTGTAGAGCCCTTCAAAATTCTTATCCGATACTTCCCTAAGTTCCTTAGCTGTGGTATATAATCTGACTTCAAATGCTTGAAGCTCAGCCTGAAACATACTCCATATAGATGCTCCAAGAAATGAGGGTGCAAAGGCTTGAGCTTGGTCTGCATAGGATTAAGCTTCATCTTGACCGTTGGATGTATTGATAGTTGGTTGCTTTCCTTTCTGCTAATTTTATGTTGGTTGGAAAGGAAGATGTATCTTCATCTTGTTAAGTTGAGTAGTGCCAAAATTAGGAATTTTCTCCTTTTTGTCTCCTAGCTCTAGATGATCGATGTTGTGCAGTTAGAGAAAATAGGAGACCAATTTAGGATAAGGTATTGGAGTTGTTCTAGACTTGAACAAAGTGAAATTCTTGATTTCACTATATATCATTGTTCCAATATTGATCTTTTCTCTACTGATGATCCTAGCTAACAAGATGTAATCCTCTTGAGTTAGGTGAGAGAAGCTTCTAGACTTGTTTACCATGCTCTTGGAGTAGATGTAGTGCATTATTCTGAAATAATCACACATCTAACTTGGAGGAAAGCTGAATTCTCTAGGATAGGTATCAATCTACATTAGAATCTTGTAGACCTTGACAGAATTTCATCTTAGGCCCTCACACATGATCATGAGTACCCAGAAACTCATTGATTTTTTTAGAGTCCAGCTTGATTGTTCTGCCTCTGAGCTTGGTGGTGATATAGCTTCTAGTCAGATTTCCTTCATCATCAGAGGTGTCACTTACTTCCATATTGCAATGGAATCTTTTAACCACTTATGGATTATAGGCTTCTTCAATTCTCAGCCAATTCTCATAGTGCTTTATAGGTTTAGAAAGATCTAATCTAATTTTGTCATTGGCTTTTAGTTGCTCTAAGTTCACATATACCACAAGACAAAATTTTCTTAGAGTAAAGTTTGATTTAAATGTTCCCAATTCCACATCCTGATTCGGATTTCCTTCTAGAAATTCTTCTGCCGAAGCTTGTGAAGGATTACCTTGAAATGGAGCTTGGTAAGAGGCTCCTTCACTCGCTCTTTGCTTCTTCCTTCTTAGTTATTTAGGGACTACCAATCCTAGAGCTGCATTAATGGCTTTTTGAATTGAGACACCTTCATCTGACTCAATTTTTTATCTTTCAAAAACTGGAGGAAGTTTAGAGGTTGAGCGAGTCTTCCTCTTGCTTGGAGTTTCTTGAGATGAGCCTTGGGTTTAGCTATCTCAGATTTTCAGAGTGCTACTTTTGGGTGCTTTCTCTTGTCGAACCTTTGGTTGATACTTGGTTTTGGCACTTGAGGGAATAGTTTCCTTGGTTTGAGCATGCTTCTCTAAGCTTTCTTCCTTGTGCTTCTGGAACCAGGTTGCTTCGCTTGAGCCATTTGATGGTGTGCAAAATGAGAATTTTGAGGAGAAATTTAGGAATTTTCTAAGTAAGGAGGGGTTTAAGGAGGTCAAAAGATGTTTAGGAAGTGATTTTAGAAGAATTTTGAAGGAAATTTAAAGAAACAGGTGAGATTGGATCGTTGCTAGAAAACATGGGTAATGGTTTATCAAGTTAGGGTTCTAGGAATTGATGATCTAATTTCAAAAAATTTACACTTAAACATAGGGAATTATCAATCAGGTTATTAGTAAAGTATGTTATTGATAAGCTCATCAATAAGTTGAAGAAAAAGAAGAACAGTAGAAAATAGATGGAAAAATTATGGAACATGTTATTGAAAAAGCAGTTTATCGAATATGTTATGTATAACTATAAGTTATAGCTAAAACCCATACCTACCTGTGCTGATCGATATTCTCATTGATAATCCTATTTTCTGATAAGCACTTCAAAATTTTAGATTTTCGATAAGATGATCGATAAGTATTACCTGCGAGTCCTTTTCTCTTTTTCCACGATTTCTTTGGTAGTCTTATCAGTAATGTGTTTGATAATGTGTATTTTTGAATTCGTTATTGATCTTTCCTTGAAGGTTTTTTAGATGCTTCCATGTTTGATAATGATATCTACAAATGTCATTATCGATTAAACCATCAATAAATGTAGTAATTTTTAAATACCTTCTTAAGCAACTATCGATATATTCTTCAAAAATTTGCTCCTTTGTTTATCTCTGTTTTTCAATGTCATAACAGAGTATCTTGCAAAACAAATTTCTTTCTACTTTGATGCTTAAGTTAGCTTTCAAATCATCAAAAAATTAAATTTAAATACTTAGAATGAAGAGATAAAATGGAATTCCTTACAACTTATTGGGATTCACCGTTCCCAATTCTCGTCTAAAGAAAATGAATTTTTGTTGATCGAGTGGTTTTATGAAGACGTCTACCACTTAATATTAAG